GCCTGAGCTTGCCTTGCTTTGTAGGGCTCTTGGTTCTGTGCCTGGGGTTTCTTCCTCCGGCACCAACTTGGAAACTCTCACTCTGGGTTTTCCTGAATTTCTGCTGCTATTTCCCCTTCTAGTTGCTCTAGTCTTGGCACCATTTTTGCCTTGCTCTGTCTTCTGTGACAGCAACTCAGACTGGCTCCTTTATTCGGGGTGCCTGGTGCTATTTCTTCAGCCAGCTCCCCTACATCTGCAATCATTGATGTCCCCTCCAGTTACCTATTACAGTATTTCCCCACGGGCGCGTGTTTGCTGCGGACCCCTCTTTTTTCGAGGCCTCTTCATGCATTTGCCCTGAAAACTCCTACTTCTGCATCTTTACCTTCATCCCCTTTCTTTACCACCACTATAGTCTCAGCTGCAACCTCCCTTTTGCATAGCCTCTCAAGGCAGGGCTGCAGTAGGTAAGCTGGGCCACCTGCACTCCTTCTCTGACCATCCAAAACACTGCTCCTGCAGCCTCCTCCCTGATCTCAGCATCTCTTCCTTCTGTTCAGGGTGGCTCAGCACATAGGACAGTTTTGGCAGGGATGAGTAGTGCTCCTGCCCAATGTCTTGGCTTGGTCCTTTTCCCAGCAGGCTGTGGCCTCTCTTTCCTGAGCCCTTCCCAGATCAGCCTCTAAGTGCCGCACTTGGTTTTTCACCACTGCAGTCTGTCTTTGTACTGGCTCGTGAGCTGTCAACTCCCTACTCAGTTCTCCAGTCTTTTTTTCATGGGCTGTCCCCTCTGGTTCTTCCAACTTCTGGTCAAGGTGTCCTATCCTTCGCCTGTCTTTCACCTCCAGACGTTCAGTCATGCCTTAAGCTCTGTAAGATCCCTGAGTGTCTTGGCTGCACTTCGACCCCTTCAGTCTGCCAAATGGCTGCTCTTGCAGCCTGTAGCTGTGCTTGGGTTTCACCTAAAAGTTCCCTCAAAGTTGCCTCCCATTCCAGTAAACTGTTTTGGTATTCAGTGCCAGCATCTCTATGCTCTTTCAGTGGTACTTCTAGCAGAGATGTGTGCTCCTTCAACCTGGCTGTCTGAGAGGACCCCTCACCCCTGACACTCACAGGCACAGCATTGTAGCCCTTGATGCACAGCTGGAAGATGCTGTGGCTCTGGGATAAGCAGTCATTTTGCATAGTCTTCACCACACCAGTTGCCCCTGACTGTGTGCAGGAGCTTCAGCACCTGGGGTCTGTTCCAGGAGGGAGTGAGGCCTGACTGACACACCGGATCTCTGGATTGGGGGCCTGGTCTGAGCACCCCACCAATAGGTCACGCAGGCCTTCATTGTAGATCTCGAGGAAGCTTGCCGACACGCTATACTGCAGGGGGGCACAGACATGCACAATCAGCCAGTGCTGGGGCTGTGGGGGCAGCAGGCTGGGACAGATGGGCACAGAAACTCACCTCCCAGCCTTTGGGCTCCGGCTCCCGTGTGCCCTGGAAGACCTGGCGCATGGCTTGGGGAATCATGCCCAGGGTCTCCTGGTCCAGGTTGTCTGGCCCCTCCATGGAATAGGTCTTCCCACTGCCCGTCTGTCCATAGGCAAAGATGCACACGTGGTAACCATCCAGTGCTGACTGCAGAGGGGAGCAGGGGAGAGGGGTTATGAGGTGAACAGCCCCCTCCTCCCACAGCCTGGCCCAGCCCAACTCATACCTGCACTAGCTGTGCAAGCTCTTCAAACACTTCTGCCTGGGAGCAGGCTGGGGGGAACACGGTCGAAGCTGAAGTCGTACCTCGCATTGCCTTTATAGCTGCACCCGGTGTGGGACTGAAGATTGCATGGAGCAAGAGGGAGCAGCAAGGGGGCCTTATTCTTTGACCCCCACTCCATAGCCCAGAGAGTACCCATGGGGCTGGAAGCCTGCTTCCCTTGTCCAATGTCCTCCCAGTGGTGGTGTATGTACATATGTCTATGGATGGGGTCAGGACAGGGGGTCAGCATGGTCCATGCCCTCCACTTGCATTTTGGAGCTGCTTCTCAATAAGTTCTGGAGGAAGGGGGTCAACTTCCTGTTCCTATAGGACACATGGGGCTCCTACAGAGGGAGAGATGGAGCAAGGTTAGGGCCCCAGCCCAGACCTGGATGGATAGAAGGACAGTGTCTGCAGGGACATGGGCTAAACTGGCAGTCTGTGCCAAACCTGCCCCTCTCACCCCCTCTGCCAGGCAGGATGCAGCAAGACCCAGCCTGATGGGGTGGTTCTGGCCTAGGGATTCCCTTACCTTCTTGGACAGCACCAGGATTACCAGGCCCAACATGAACAGGCTAGAGCTGATGGCTTGTGTCCAGGGGAAGCCTCTCTCCAGTGCTGAATAGAGTGGAAGAAGCACTTCTCTGAACTGCAAGTGCCCCCTCCTGTTAATACAGCCCAGGAGGCACTTGCCTTTTGTTTAAACAAACAAACAAAGAGCACGTTGCTGCTTCATTCAACTTATGATCTGTAGTCATGCCCAGGTCCTTCTCTTCAATGCTGTCTGTGGCCGGGTGGGGGTGAATAATGAAATCTCGCGCCCTGGGGCTTGCCTGCCACACTTTGGAATGATGGAAGAATAAGAAGTCAATTCCCCAAAGAGAGTGAGTGTAGTAAATCACCCCAGAAGCAGGATAAAAAAAAAAAAAATTGGTTTATTAGCAACTTCCCCACAGGTTGTGGAGCACCCTGGCTGTGCTCACAGCTTGTGGTCTTCCTTTTCTCCACCCCTGGGCAGCCCACTCCCACAAGTCAGTCGGCTCCACTCCAGTCCCACTCACTCTCTCTTTCCTGCGGTACCTTTCTCCATGGGACCTTCTCTCAGCCAGTAAGTTTCTCCTCTCTTTCTCACCTCCTTACTTTACCGGTCACTGTGGTTACCTACACCCAGGCAGCCAGTCTTATCCGCAAGCTGCTCCAGAGCTGGGTCTGCTGCTCCTGGCATCCCTGCTTAATCTCTCCATGCGGTGCCCCAGGGGCAAAAGAAAACCCCTTGCTGTAGATGTATGTAGCTGCTGGCTCCTAATCAGTTAATATTCACCCCAGGTGCAACCCCCTTCCCAACTGTGTTTTATTAAGTAATTAACTTTGCCTGTCCCTGACCTGACTACTTGCAACTTAGTAACATCAAAGGAACAGGGTTGTCTTTGCCCTGCTACACTGTCTCTTGGCCAGTCATTTCTTGCTCTCTCTTTGTGCACATGGCTATTTCTTCCCAGGTGCAGGCCTCTGCCCTTGTCCCTGTTGAATCCCATCTGATTGATTGTGGACCATTTTTTTTCCAGTCTATCCAGGTTATTCTGGATCTCAGCCCTGCCCTGCAGAGTGTTCACAACTCCACCCAGCTTGTCAGCCACAGATTTGCTAAGCATGCACTGAAAAACTCCTCCCTACTAGACATTGAGGCATCGAGGACAATGATTCAACCAGTTACGTATCTCCTTACAGTGTTGGCTACAAATGTCCAACTCGGGATCCTTAAAATTCTGGTTTATTAGGCAGATTGAAACACTGTAATGAAGTCAAATCATAAACCTTGGGGCTGGTCCCCCCCCCACACACACAGAAGCGAGCTACAAGAGTCAGGTATACATATCCCATAGGCGCTGCAGTCTGCTGTCAATGGCCAGTCAAGGCTTCTTCCAGCATGGTGTTATCTTCCAGAAGGGGGTCGCTGGCTGGTCCTTCTGGCTGGACAGGTCGGGTGCTGGTCAAGTTGGAGATCAAGAGAGCGCCCCTGAGGGTCACTTTTCACTGCTTTTTATCTGTCCTTGGCAGACTTTGGTGACTCCCCAGTTTTCAGGTTTGTCCAATCCAGGGGTCGTTGACCCTCGTGGGACTTCCCCCTCAGTGGCTACTGGATGGCATCTGTCAGCCCCAGGGGTCATCTGCATGTACGTGCAGGTTTGGGAGTCAGTTGATGAATTTTGAATAGGGCTCTGGGAGTGGTCAACCTGGACATATTCAGCCCAAAAGTTGGTCCCCGGCGTTGGTTAACTCAGACCGGGGCTTCTAGCCCTTGAACAGTGAAGTTTAGAGATTCCCAGTTGTTTAGAGATTCCCAGTTGCTACATTGTCTCCTATTGATTTCTTCCATTGGTTGAGCTGTGGTTTTCCTAGGTGTTAATAGCCACCTGCTACTGTTACGCATTCAATCACTGATTCACTCCCTCTTTCAGGGGCCTGCCTGATATAGGGAAGCAGTGGTTTGATTCCTGCCCTTGTTAACATTGTTACAATGTATAACTTACTTCTCAAACTAAACACATCTAGTAAAAAGGTGAGGAGTATAAAATATAAACTCCAAGAGTAATGCCATGGCACACAAATAGATAAAAATACCGAAATACAAGGGGAGATGCAAAATACACACATACAAACTTTAAAACACAATTCCTTATCTTATAGTGAAAGAAAGAGGAAGGAAGAAAAGGTAGAAGAAGAGAAACATATCCAAAGAGGGGAGAGCAAATGCAGGCAAGAGGAAAAGGGGGCTTTCTGCTACAACAGGACTTTGAGTCTAGTCTGTAATCCCGTATCTTGGGAATGAGAATGTAGTGGGAGATGGTGTCAAAAGCCTTGCTAAAGTCAAGGTGCATCGTATCCACTGCGCTCCCCCATTTGCAGAGCCTGTCACCACCTTAGAACTTGGGTTGGTCAGGCATGACTTGGTCTTGGCGAATACTGGCTTTCCTTGAAAACTTGTTCTCCTTCCGGTGGAAAGACCTGCTCCACCATCATCCCAGGTCCTGAGGTCAAGCCAAATGGTCGGTAATTCCCTGGATCCTCCTCCTTCCCCTTTTTTTAAAGATAGGCCCTATATTAGACAACAGCTCTGACTTTACCTCGGCCAATTCCTTCAACACCCTCAGGTACATCCCTTCCGCTCCCCCTATCCCCCAATTGAAAGCATCCAGTGTCTCTGCACAATCCTTAAGGTGTTCTACCATTACTCTGGGCTGA